AGCATCGACTATTGTAGCAAATGAAACTTGCAACGTAAATTAATTTTAGTGCTTCCCAACAGGTTATAGAACTAATTAAAATCATTACTCATCAGTTTACATGAATTAAACAGAAGTTACACAAGGAAGAAATTAAAACAAACAGTACACACGTTACAACTACAATTAGTTTTAAAACAATTGAGGTACAAGAAATCCAGTTTAATTTTAATCCTTAACAGTTCCTTGGAGTTGTGTTAGACATGCAAAGAACAGGAGGCAAAGGGAAGGAGTTAGGATTAGAACTTTCCTACGAGATTTTGAATTAAAATCTCTACGTCGTCTTCTTAAGTTTTCTTGCATAACTAGTTCCCTCTGCTTCCCAGCCTTATCCAAATTTCTCTGCCTTTACTATATTGCGACTAAAATCTTAAACCCTAGGCAGAGCAGTCATCGTATATTTATAGGCCAAATAAATCCTAGGTTCGATTTAAACCCTAATCGACTTACCCGGCCCATAAACCAGCCTATGATATAAACATGTCGGCACATACGTAAAATTTAAACCTAATGTGTAACTATATGAGTGCAACAACAAATACAGTAACGCTAAATAAGAAACAAAAATTAAATTCAATTAAAGAAATTCAATTAAAACAATAAATTAACTAACCCAATAAATTCAATTAAAATAATTAAATAATTAACACAATTAAGTCATAATCTAAATAATTTAAATAATTCACATACAACAAGAAATCAAATAATCAATTAAACAAACCAAATTAACAAATAAACAAATAAAATGCAACTTAAACAATAAATTAAATACCAGAACTATCCTTTTGAAATTAGGGCTATTACAGCATGTTCAGCCTGGCCAACCATGGCCATGCCACATCCCTCAAGCACAACAGAACGTTCCACCTATGAACATTTAGCCAGCCGCACCTGTTCTAGCAAGGCCACCACCTATGGTCATTCCAATGGCTGTTGGGGGGCAACCTTTTCCAAGGGAGCCACTTCTTGACCAAGGAGGAAGGAACCATGGCAGGAACAACTATGTAGATGCCAACCCCTTGCTTATGGCGGGTGGGGGGCATCAAGTGGCCAATCAACCTCAAGGTTGGCCAGACAACAACCTTCCACAACCTATGGCGCTTGATAGAGGCCAATTTACAGAATTCCTTCAACAGGAATTTGGCCTAACTCGAAGGGGTAGAAGGCAAACTTACAGAAAGCCCTATCCAGAGTTCATTGATGAAGTTGAATTTCCAAGGAATTTTAGAATTCCAGAGTTTGCAATGTTCAATGGAGAGGGCGAACAATCCACATTAGAACATATCAGCCGGTTTACTATTCAGTGTGGAGAAGCAGCAGCCAATCTATGGCTGAAGGTACGCTTGTTTCTAAATATACTGACTGGGTATGCTTTCAGGTGGTATTCCAATTTGCCAGCAACCTCTATCCAAAGTTGGCAGTAATTTGAGGATTTATTCCATACTCAATTCTATAGAGCAGAGCTTGAAGTGTCCATGGCAGACCTTTCCAAACTTCATCAACTACCTAGAAAGTCCGTGATGAGCTTCCTTTCCAGATTCAGGTGAGCCAAGTTCAAATGTAATTTGTCTTTGCCGCCGGAAGAATATGCGAAGATGGCTGTGAACGGCCTAGAATTTAAACTTCGCAAGAAGTTTGAAGGTGTACAATTCCATGACTTCTTTGACTTGGCCAGTAGAGTGGCTAAGTATGAAGAGCTCATTCGTGAGGAGCAAGACCGGAAGAGTTCTTCCAAGGGCACTTACTATCGTGATCCAAATTATGAGGTGTATACCACTGAAACTAAAGGGGAGTTTGAAGTAAATGTAACTGACCTCAACATAAAGAAGGCCAATACTTGTGAGGCCTTGACAAAACCAAAGTCAGCCATGGCCAACTTGCAGGCCGCTTCTGGTTCCAAGTGAAAGGGAGCAGGCCCTTCCAAGAGTTATTCTTTTGACATCTCTAAAGCCGAGCAAATTTTTGATTTGCTCATGGCTGACAAGCAATTGATTTTCACAATAGGCCACAAGATGCCATCGGCCTCATAAATGGTCGAGAAAGAGTATTGCAAATTTCACAATTCATGGAGGCATTCCACTAATAATTGTGTGATTTTTTGTAACATAGTGCAAAAGGTGATTGAAGATGGTAGGTTGAAGTTTCCAAAAAAAATAGAAGTCATGGGTGTTGATGAAAATCCTTTCCCCAAGGTTGTTACCACGAACATTACCTCCCTTGCTGCGGAACACCCTAAGAAGAAGGTGGACTTGGCAGAATCAAGAGCTAGTGATAAACTTAAAAGTCCTGACGCTGCTGTATCCATGGAGAAAACGGTGGCAGAGTTGGAAAAATAACTTCGTGAGGCTCAATTAGCCTTAATCCAGCAAGGTTGTTGCCCCAAATGTAAAATTCAGAATGACGGCTGTCATAGAGATGTTTCAAAGGAGAGGCTATCTAATGATGACCGAGGCCAAAAAAGGAAAGTCCATGATCGGCTGACTTTCCAAAAGGTGGAAAACACAGTTACTGTAACCATTCCAGAGAAGGAAAGCTGGGTTCATCCAGAAAGGAAGGCAGTAGAGAGGAAATCTGAAATCCTTCCAAAGAGTTTGGAAAGGAATAGAATTTCTTATCAGCCAAGGTTTCGTCTTAGCAGAAAGTTTGAAAGTAGTAGATGTCAGGACAGATGTTCTAAAGGTGACAGGCATTCCAGGCCAAAAATGGCCTCGGAGGTATGGGTTAGAAGGGAGAGTGAGCATTTTCGACCAAGAATAGTTAGACCTCCAACCTCGCAAAATGAGGGATGGAGAAGGCTTGATTATCCCAAGTTTCCCATTCATGATGACTCTTATATGACTCGCACACAAAAGTGAAGGCAGCAAAGAAAGAGGGTTGATAGAAGAAGGTTATGGGAGAAAGACCATGGCTGGTCTAACTGGCCAAAGAAGACTACTAAGCCGTCACACTTATCAGAACTTCCAGCTAGAGGAAAGGAAAGAGATCCTGATGATTTGCTAGATCTTGATTTAGAGGTTGGAAATTCCTTGACTACAAACAATCCTCCTACGAAAGATAAAACAGATTTGGAAATTCCCAACAGTTCCAATAGCAGCAAGAAAATCTATTTTGGGAGCCTTCCAGGTGAATTTACTTGCAATATGGTAGTGGTTCTTCCTTTGTTTTTTGAGCCTAAGCCAAATCAGCCCAATTCAATGGAAGGAGATGTAGTAGATACAAGTCCTCCCATGGAAAGTCTTGGACAATCTAGTTCTGGGCCAACCATTATAGAACCAAATGATGGTATTCATATAGAAGAGGTCTTTAAAGATGAAGCTGAGCATCTCCAGAAATTAAAGGGGGTTGTGATTGAAGAGAACAGCCCCACGAGGCCAAAGAAAATTGTGTTGGAAAAGCCACCATATGGCATGACTCAGCAGCTCAAACCTTTGTACATCAAGGTGCTAGTGGAAGGAGGGCCCTTAGCAAGAGTTCTGATGGACAATGGTTCGGTATTGAATGTTGTTCCAGTCAATGTTATGCGTATGCTTGGAAAGTCTCATGAAGATATCATTCCACCTGATGTATTCATTAGTGGATTAACGAGAGGAATAGTGAAGATGCAAGGAATCCTATCATTAGAATTAACGGTGGGAGATAGAACTTCCATCAGAGCCTTCTTTGTTATTGAGTCTACAGCGGCCTATAATTTGCTCTTAGGCCGCGAATGGATTCACCCAAATTTTTGTATTCCATCTTCACTTCATCAAATGCTAATATTTTGGGATAGAACTGGCCATTTGTGGTAAGGGTTTACCATGCAGATGCTAAGTTGTAAAGTGAAGAATTCGTTCCAATCAGATTTATTAGAAAGGATAGCAAGGGCCGTCCAAGGAAGGCCACCATGAGAAGAACTCTTACGAAAGAAGATGTAAGGGAGCTTTTCCAAGAAACACCAAGGCCAACAATTCTACCCAAGGCAGGTGTTCAGCACTACATTTCAAACAAAAGTTTTTATAGAAGAGAAACCTAAAGAAAATAGAATATTTGGCCAGGTGGTTAACTGCTGCCTTGCCAGGTTGAAAGCATATCTAGCCGAACTACGGTTGGAAAGGGCTGCTGTTGCTGGTACTTCATTTTCAACCAATATTTTGGAGATTATAGAAGATACTGAAGACAAGTTGGATGTTATCCAGCTGACAGAATTGAAGGCGGCGCCAACGAAGTTAGACGATCTCAAGGCTGAAGTACAAGATCCACTTTTGGAAGTTAATCTTGGAACAGAATAGGACCCTCGGCCTACCTACATCAGTAAGCTTTTGGAACCGACCTTTAGAGAAGAATTGATTTCCTTACTTGAAGAATACAAAGATTGCTTTGCATGGACATATGAGGAAATGCCAGGACTTTCCAGAGAGCTGGTAGAGCATAAGTTGCCAATTAAGGAAGGTTTCAAGCCTTTCAAGCAGCCTCCAAGAAGAATGTCCCAAGAAGTTGTTCTAAAGGTCAAAGAAGAGATAGAAAGGCTACATAAGGCTGGTTTTATAAGAACCGCCAGGTATGTTGACTGGATTTCCAACATAGTTCGAGTTATTAAGAAAAATGGCAAGCTAAGGGTATATATGGATTTTCAGAATATCAATCTTGCAACTCCAAAAGATGAATACCCCATGCCTGTTACTGACCAATTGGTAGACTCTGCTGCCAAGAATGAAATTCTTTCATTCATAGATGGGCATTCTGGATACAACCAGATTTATATTATGGAAGAAGACATTGCCAAGACGACTTTCAGATGTCCAAGATCCATTGGAACCTTTGAATGGGTAGTCATGCCATTTAGATTGAAGAATGCTGGAATAACATATCAAAGTGCTATGAATACCATTTTCCATGACATGATTGGCCATTTCTTGGAAGTCTACATTGATGATGTAGTCATTAAATCCTCGGCCAAGGCTTAACATCTCTATAATTTAAAGATGGCTTTTGAAAGAATGAGGCAGCACAAGTTGAAGATGAATCCTTTGAAGTGTGCCTTTGGGGTTTCAGTTGGAAATTTCCTGGGTTTTCTAGTCCACCAAAAAGGTATTGAAGTAGACCAAAATAAAGCAAAGGCAATTATTGAAGCAAAGCCACTAGCCACTAAGAAAGAACTACAAAGGTTTCTTGGCCAGGTTGGATATTTGAGGACATTCATTGCCAACGATGCTGGAAAGACTCATGTTTTCTCCCCATTGTTAAAATTGAAAGGTGTTGAGGATTTCAAGTGGACAGAACAGCACCAGCAAGCCTTTGAAGGTCTGAAAAGCTACCTGGCCAATCCTCCAGTAATGATGCCTCCAATCAAGAAGCGGCCTTTAAAATTATACTTATCGACCGCTGACGAATCCATTAGAACTCATCTAACCCAAAACAATGAGTGGGGAAAGGAGCAAGCCATCTATTATCTAAGTAGGGTGCTCACTCCAGTGGAATATAGGTATACTTCTATTAAAAAGTTGTGCCTTTCCTTATACTATGCGGCTATGAAGTTAAGAACCTATATGTTGCCAGTGGTCGTGTATATCATTTCTCAAATAGATTTGATTAAGTATATGCTTTCAAGGCCTTTGATCACTGGACGTATTGGAAAGTGGTCATTGGCCTTAATGGAGTTTTCCTTCAAGTATATTCCACAAAAGGCAGTCAAAGGAAGAGCGGTGGCAGGATTTCTAGCAGACCATCCTTCCACCAAGATTGATTCAGAAATATGTGATGAGGTGGATAATCTCTACCTTAATTATACATCTTGGACTCTCATGTTTGATGGATCAACCACTCATGATGGAGGAGGAGCTGGAATAGTCATCATTTCACCGAAGGGGAGAAAATCTACATTTTCTTTTTTCGTGGATTTCAAGTGTACAAATAACCAAGCTGAGTTTGAGGTGTTAATTATTGGGCTAGAAATCTTATTGGAGCTAAAAGTGGAGAAGGTCCAGATTATTGGAGATTCAAATTTGATACTCAGCCAACTTTCTGAAGAATATAGGTGTTTTAATTGGCATTTGAGGCCTTTCCATTCTTTGGCCTTAGAATTACTTTGCCAGTTTGATGACTTCCAACTCAAATATTGGCCAAGACATTTAAATATAGAGGCTGATGATTTAGCACAGCTAGCTTCCAGAGTGAAGGTCCCACCAGGTGTAGAAGAAACTTTGATCACAATCAAAAGAAGGACTCTTCCTTCTATAGAGTCACGGTATGAGATGCCAGGTCGTTTCCAAGCTGATGAGCCAAAAAGGATCATGCCTACCAAGAAAACATGGGAGATTTTCAATGTTGCTATAGATGGCTTAGACTTGGAAGATTGGAGAACACCAATTATCCATTTTTTGCAGGAGCCTAGTACCAACGTGGACAAGAGAATTCAGCTTTTGGCACCTCATTATATTCTGATTGACGGAGATCTCTACAAAAAGAGTAAAGAAGATGGACTTTTGCTCAGATGCCTTGGCAAGGATGAATCCATGAGAGTAATGGAAGAATCGCACCTTGGAATATGCGGAGCACACCTAGCTGGAATCAAGATGAGGTGGCTTCTTAGAAGGTACGGTTTACTATTGAAAAGGCATATTAAAAGACTGCATAGAGTTTACAAAAACCTGCATTGCATGTCAAGAACATGGCCCGCTCTAGAGAGTTCCAGCTATAAACATGCAGCCAATAGTAAAAATATATCCATTCAAAAGGTGGGCTTTAGACTTCATTGGAAAGTTAAGGCCGCCATCTGCAGATGGTCATACTTATATGGTAGTTACAACAGATTATTTCACTAAGTGGGTGGAGGCCATTCCATTAAAGACTTGTGAGCAACCAACAGTCATCAATTTCATCAAGAAGCACATTATACACAGATTCGGGATTCCAGAGACTCTTACTACAGATAGAAGCCTTTCCTTAATTGGAAGTGAGGTCATTGACTATTGTGCTGAATGTGGCATTCAAGTAATCAGTTCTACTCCATATTTTGCCCAAGCAAATGGACAGGCAGAAGCTTCCAATAAAGTAATTCTTAACATCCTTAAAAAGATGATTGAGAATCATCCAAGGGAGTAGCATCACCTACTTTCTGAGGCCCTTTGGGCTTACAAGAATTCAAAAAGGTCAAGTACAGGTGTCACACCATATATGCTTACATATGGACATGATGCCGTTCTTCCAATAGAAATGACCATTAGGTCTGCAATGGTGGCTTTCCAAAATAAGCTAACTCCAGTAGAGTACAACCAGGCCATGTTGGTGGAATTGGAAGATCTTGATAAAGTCCGTCTTAATGCCTTAGACATATTATTGCTCAAAAGAAAAAAGTCATGCGGGCATATAACAAGAAGGTTAAGGCAAAGACATTTATTGAAGGGGACTTGGTATGGCAAGTCAAATTTCCACCTGGGGTTAAAACCTTGGAATATGGAAAATGGACACCTAACTAGGATGGTCCTTACTTGGTGGAAAAAGTCCTTAGAAAAGGGGCTTATAGATTGATGGATATAGATGGAGGGTCCCATAAACACCCAGTGAATGGTGTATACTTGAAAGAGTATCACCCTTCCATCTATGAAGACTGGAAAGCTACAGTCATTCTACCAGTCACGTAATGTGGCTGGTAAAGTCTTTTCCAAGTAAACCAGAAAGTTGGAAAGGAGGCATGTTGGCCATTCTTTGGCCATTCTGGTAGTCAAGATAAAACGAAGGAAAGATTTATTCCAAGAAGTGGCTAAGAACTTGGAAAAGTACATTAGCTAAAGTTATGAAGTGGACTTAGTTGTATTTCCAATATCAGCTAATTTCCAAAGACTTCAGTACGAAAGCGGCTACACTACATGGTCCAAGTTTCGTTCAAACTGGAAATCGTTTGTCTTGCTTGTATATACATGCATTTCCATTATGGTAATTTCTTTTATTTCTCTAAATTCCTTTGTTGTGGAAAGCCGTTTATGGCTATGCCTTATTGTTAATATATATGAAGGAATCTTCCAGTTTCAGTGACTTAGACATTTCTTTTCATAAAAACGGTTAAAGAGGCACATGTGATGGATTGAGAAATAAAACATCATTCCATTAGATACTTGATTTCTTTACAAAAGCCCAAAAATGGCCACTTAAACCTAGAGTTAGCCATACAAGTGATTCCAAAAAAAAGTATCTACTATTTATTTCCTACCACCATCCATTACACCATAATTTTCAAAACAACCACATAGAAAAAACCATCTGGGATCAAATAGAGGCAAGAGCACCTCCAACTTCCATCCAAATTTTCCTTGCTTCACGAAGAGTGGCCAATGCTCTAACCTTAGCTTCTTCAAATTTGGGAAATTTTTCAACCCGTTTTTCCCATTCCTTCGATAAAGGTTCAGATGCATTTATAAGGGCACTAGCTGTTTGGTCCAACTCAAATTCTTCACGTTCCACTTGTTCCAACTCTCTTTGAATCTTGGCCAGTTCTTTATTCAAGCTTTCTTTCTTGTCCATAAGCTTTTCAGCTCGTTCTTTGATTTCTGGGTAGGGTTCTAATGAGAGTTGGAAATCTTCAAGAGCTTTATCTTTGAGCTTGGCTTCTTTATCACATTCAGAAATTGTGGAAGTACTGGAGTTTACATGGGTGATGATGAATTGGAGTTGGTGTTGCAGTTTGGTTAAAGAAGCTTGGATGGATTTCGGAAATTCAAGGTGTTTCTTGAGGGTCACTATAGTGCTGGCCAAACTTTGGTGAAAAGATAACACATCTTCTACATCATGGGCAAGGTAAGAGAATAATTTTCCTTTGGCCGCAGTTATAGCATCATCTGAGGTTCCTAGAAGCATGAGAACACTGGCACTTAAGGTGGAAGTACTGGAAGATTTGGTGGCCTTGATCACTTTATAAAGATCGGCCAAAGCTAGAAGAGCTCTTCTTTGCACCATAAAGGAAGTTAAGGAAGGAGTGGACTAAAATGACAGCAACTTTGTATTAGATAGAAAGAAAGAAAGGAGGCGAAGTTTAGAAGTATGAAAGTTTGCCTCTAGAATGGAAGGAACTTGGCCTGTAGAAGTTCCACCAGTTTTGGAAGGGATAGATACTCCAGTCGTGGAAGTTGGAATGGGCAGACTTTCTTCTTTTTTGTTGGTCAAACTTTCTATAATTGAAGCTTGAAGGGCTAAATCCTCTCCTTGGGCAATTCCTCTCCTTGGGCAATTTGTTGGTCCAAATGGATATTCGTGAAGTTGTGTCCCATAGAAGAGCCCTGTTAGTTAAAGTTAGAGGAAATTTATAAGCATTTTTTAGCAACGAAGTTGGAAAGAAGTGAGAATAGAGACTTACCAAAACAATTTCTTTGTTTGGTTTGGTTTTTTGTACTTTTAAGAGTCTCTAGGCTGTTGGAATTCTTCTGTTTTTTCTAGATCAGTCATGATTTTTCTCTTTGCTTTTCCAACAATCTTTCCAGAAGGGCTGCGCATTTTAAGGGCTTTGCTAGAATGTTGAGTAGCGGTTTGACCCTTGGAAATACCAACTTCTTCATTAGAGGAATCTTCATCGGAAGAGGAGAATTGGGGTTGAAATTCTTTTTTGACAATAGCTAGTCCCTGCAATAGGAAATGTAAGTAAGGCAAGAATCTAGGAAAACTAAGTACATTCGCATTGAAATACCTAAGGAGTCTTTCCTTTTCCTTTTGCTTTGTACAAAGCATCTTCCTCTTCTTCCTGTATTTCCTCTTCAACTTCTTCTTCTTCCTCTTCGTCATAGCTTGAGGAAAGACTTTCAATACTTACGTCACCACTTTCGGCTATACCCTCAATCTTGCTAGTCACTGTAGTAGCTTTCTCTCCACCTTTATCCTCCTCACTTTCTTCGAGTACTTCCTCTTCTCCATCTGAAATTTACCAAGTCTCAGTATATGGAAGATTGATGGATTTCATAAGAAAAGATGGAAAATGGAGTTTACAGTGAATATAGTTATACCTGGAGATAAAGGCTTGAAAGAAGCTAGTATGGAATCACAGACAGTTTTATGATTCTTTGTCCGGGTGGAAGAAATGTAAGTTGACCACCATACATCGAATTCATTGGTGGACTGAGGCTTGCTGGTATGGCCTTAGAAGTTAAAAGTAGCTCTTTCTGCTACATAAGCTTGATCAATTGCTGTGAATTGCTCAACATCTATGAGACGAACACGTTGGTCAAAGAATCTGTTATAAGATTTGTAAGGCGGTAAAGGAATCATCTGGGTTTGCCTTGCCAGCTGGGCTGGATTATAGAACTAAACACCGCAGAAGCTATTCTTTAGAGTAGGTTGGGCAATGCTATAATGGAGGTCACGAGTAAGAAGAAAACTGGCCGAAATATTTTTCCAATCTTCAGAATGTTTTTTGGTAGACACTCTAGGAGATAGAACCAACCATGATGGCATGCGACCAATGGCGGTGAATGGATCAAAGAAATCATCATTACCAATCTCACATTGATTGTAGAAATACTCGAAGTTCTCAGCAAAGCTGAAAGGAGAAGGATCTGCTGTTGCCAAGGAATGGCACAGAAGGGATTTTCCAGTTGGAGTGATTAGGGGTGAAGTTCTATTTTAGAAGTACACTTTAAGCCACATCTGGAATAACCAGAAGGGACCTTAGAACCTTAAAAACTTTGAAGTAAGAAGGCCATGAAGGCCTTTGTATAAGTGGGAAAGCACAAGGGGAGCTAATGCCAAATCTCCATTTCTGGCTAGGGAAACCGTTACTTGAACAAAGTCTTTTGTGACTTGGCCAGATGGAACACACAGCAAATGGACAGAAAGCCAACAAATCAAGAAAGCAATGTGCTCATCTTCTTGAACTGGGCCGGTTTTGTTACAGTGTTTAATAAAAGGGAAATAGGAGGAGATAAATTTCTTACTTCCAGTGGTTTTGGTAGGAAAAAGGAATTATTCAATAAAGAGGGTGGCGCTTACATCATCTCCATGGGGTTTAAGACTTGTAATGCAACAAATATCTCTCAAAGTGGGGGACATCATTCCATATTTGAGATGCAGGGAATTGGTGGTTGAAGACCAAAAGAAAAGAGCTGGAAAGAGGAGGTTCGGATCAAGTGTAATGGAGGACTTACTGATTTGGATAATGTCATAGATGCCCTGTTTCTTCCATTGTGAAGAGATTTTTTCGTCCTTGGAAAGTTGATTCACCCATGAAGACCAGGATGAACGATATGTTGGCCAGTTTCTTATGTTGAATGAGGACTTCACTTTTTTCCCTTTTTTTGAAATAAGAGGGAACTCTGAATCAAAAGGGAGAGGGGACTTACCGGAAGGATAAAATTTGGCTAATTCAGAGGGGGCTACACTGGTAAATGCTGGACCCAATCCAACTAAGGAATCTTTGAAGTGAATCAGAGGTTTAAGATGAAGTCTAGTAGGATTTAAAGACTTCAAGAGTCCTTGAACTTGGTGACTATGGCTTCGGGTCTTGACTTTAGTTTGAATAGAAGGAGCTGGCAGGGATGAGCTAGTAGTTGGCTTGGAAGGTTTCTTAAGGGCCATGGTCTGTAATTTTTCGTAGGTGAAGATTTCCTTTAGGGTTTCAGAAGATAGAAGGAAAGTTGTTGGTAAACGATAAGGATGGAGAAAATATATATAGCAACAACAAGAGAAGTATTAAGGTCTAAAATACGCCTTTTGAGGGTGAGTAGTTAAAGGATTTCAAAATTTAAAAGGAGTAATAACTAGGATTGTGAAGTTTAACAGCTTTTAGCCGTAAATGGATAGGATTTTTTTTGAGATACGAGATCATCGATGGAAGGGTTTGTTTGTAGAGGAAGCCGAGGGAACAGCCACGTGTTATAAGGTTTGTTTCTTTTTAATGATTATCTTGAGTTTTCCAAGGGTCCAAGGCGTGTTAACACGGAGTTGGGTATGAATTTTGAAATTCGAAAAAAGTAAAAGTCAAGAGATTTTTATGGGAGTCATCTTTTGGGGGCGCATAATTACTTAGGAGATTGACGGTTTGAAGTAATTAATATGATGGAAGCCGAGGAGTCTAATTGTGTTAAGTATTGAATAATCATGATAGTGGTATGTTGTTCCATAAT